GCTCCTGGTGGTCCTTTCTTGGGGGCTCCTGGTGGTCCTTTCTTGGGAGCCCCTGGTGGTGCTTTCTTGGGGGCTCCTGGTGGTGCTTTCTTGGGAGCCCCTGGTGGTCCTTTCTTGGGGACTCCTGGTGGTCTTTTCTTGGGAGCTCCTGGTGGCCCTTTCTTGGGAGAAGCTGGTGGCCCTTTCTTAGGAGAAGCTGGTGGCCCTTTCTTGGGAGAAGCTGGTGGCAATGACACATTTGAAATTGTCTGCGTTGTTTCTGAGGTTGTCCATGTTAATTGAAAGCTCGTGTTAATATTATTATTTGGAGACTGCTTGGACCAAGGTGGACCACGCAATTTCATTGGATTGACCAACTTCATGGCCAGATAACCCTGAGTAAAGAAAGTTAGAAGATGGAGGAAACCAGTGAAAACTGAACTCTATCCTCCCTCTCTCTTTCTCTTTCTCTCTCCCTCCCTCCCCGCCTCTCTCTCCCCATTTGACTGACAGAGCCCTACCCCTGCTACTTATAACATGTGTCAGGATTCCTACACCTAACCCAATTTAAATCGTGAGTCTCAAGCCAAACTTCCAAAACTTAAAGAGGATTTATTGGGAGTTAACATGCCAGCACTGCCTGGGTGTAGCCGACTCTGAGACACATCATTCATTGCCACCCTTGACCCTGGTTTTCCCTCCACCCCCTGGGTGTATCGTAATTCATACTTTCCAATGGGACACATCCACAGCCCAGAGTCATCAATCATTCTCTCCAGTTAGAATTTTGCGTGGCAGAAACTTCGATCACATAGAAACTATCTTTGAAAACATTTATGGAATGCAAGCTGCCCACTGTTCCCCCCTCGCTTTCTGTTGCCAACTCTAAATAGACCATAGAAATAATTTGTATGAATTGACAGCATGATTCCCCTTCCAGGTTACATTTTCACATTCTTTACTGAGAAGAACTTACTGGCGCTGCGTAGATGAAATCTATGAACAGCCAGATCACCAGAAGGATGCAAATCAAAATTAGGATCTTCCATTTACTCTTCTGCCAGATAATAAAATGGATGCTCTTTAAGGGGGCTGTGAACCATAGGAAAGAGGTTTCCGGTCTCCTAGTTTGGGGGAGAAGAATGAAGAGGGACGGGGTGGTGAGATAGCCGCTGTATTCAGATGAACAGATTAACAGAGTTGGAAGGGACCTTGTAGTGTAGGTCATCTAGTCCAACCCTCCCCCCGCCCAAGCAGGAGACCCTACACCACTTCTGACAAACGGCAGTCCAGTCTCTTCTTGAAAGCCTCCAGTAATGAAGCTCCCACAACTTCCGAAGGCAACTTCTGTTCCATAGGTTGATTGTTCTCACTGTCAGAAAGTTTCTCCTTGTTTCCAGGTTGAATCTCTCCTTGATCAGTTTCCATCCATTATTCCTTGTTTGGCTTTCAGGTGCTTTGGAAAATAGCTCGACCCCCCTCCTCCTCTCTGGGGCAGCCCCTCAAATATTGGAAGCCTGCTACCCTGTCTCCCCTGGTCCTTCTCTTCCCTAGATTAGACATACCCAGTTCCTGCAACCATTGATTGTATGGTTTAGCCTCCAGTCTTCTAGCCATCTTGGTTGCTCTTTTCTACACTTTCATCTTAGCTCCATTCATCCTTCGTTTGCTTATGCTCCCCCATCAGCTGAAGACCAGCCAAGATGTTTCAATATCTGGCCTCTTTGACCCCTTGGCATTAATTTCTGTTTCATCCCAGACTCTAGAGTTGCAGAAGCCCACAATGATGTCACAGAGGCATTGGGAGAAGCATACATTGCCTGTTGCGTCTACAAGACTTCTGTCAAAGATTGTGGTTTCTCTGAGGGTACATTTTCCAGAGTCTTTTAACCAAGAGTGGGATTCAATTTTTTTAATAACCGGTTCTTTGGGCGTGGCTTAGGTGGTGGGCATGGCTTGGTGGTCATGTGACTGGCTGGGCGTGGCCAACTCAACATCACTCACATCGAGGCTCGCATCTCCTTGCCTGGCCTTCAAGACTGTGGGGATGCTGCAACAGTCGTAAGTGTGAAAAACAGTCATAAGTCACTTCTTTCAGTGCCATTTTAACTTTGAATGGTCACTCCACACAAGCAAAGTACCAGCAAAGGAGGGGAAAGACCTCCAGAGAAGTTCCTGAGACAGGAAGTCTAGTCCTGCCAAGAATGTACTAAGGGTTAACGGAGAGGCAGTTTCTGTAAGCAACACCAGAATGTTTCCTTCCTGCCTTCCTTACAGGATTAGCCCAGTAATTTCTTCTAACAACCGGTTCTTCAAACTGCTTAGAATGTTAACAGCTGGTTCTAGCGAATGGGTCATGGTTGTCCCAAAAGACAACTGGACTTTCTTGTTTTTATTTTCCTTTGAAAACATTTCGCTTCTCATCCAAGAAGCTTCTTTAGTTCTCATTCTTCGGCGAAGTTGGCCGTGGTTTCTTGCTAGTTGGGAGAACCATGAAGAAGCTACTTGGACAAAAAGTGAAATGTTTTCAAAGGGGAAAAAAAAACAATCAAGAAAGTCCAGCTGCCTTTTGGAAAAGCATCTTTGAGATACTTTCCTGCTTCCAAATCTGCCAATCGCTATGAATGGTGATGTAAGGCTTACAGCTTCTTTCCCAGAGATGCTATTCAGCCAGTTCTCACGGGTTAGAGAGAACCGGTAGCGGAAATTTTGAGTAGTTTGGAGAACTGACAAATACCGCCTTTTGACTGGCCCCGCCCCTGTCCATTCTCCGCCCCCCGAGTCCCCGCTGATTGGCTGGGTTTTTGGTTCCCCCGCACAGGAGAACAGAGCTGGATAGCAGGTTAGTGGGGTGGGGAGGGAATGGAGATTTTGCAGTATCCTTCCCCTGCCACGCCCACCAAGCCATGACCACAGAACCGGTAGTAAAAAAAAAATTGAATCCCACCATTGTTCCTTCCATACTTTCCCAAGTTACAATTCTGAGGACAGTCATCCCTCCACCAGGTTTTCTATCAGAGGACACCCGTGTTCTGATCTTACTCTGGTGGCTTCAGAAAAGGGTTTGCATTTGGCTCTTCTCTTCCTCTCCCAGCTGGCAATTCTTCAGCCTCCAAATCGGTCAGCAATTCCAGAGACATCTCGATCTTTCCCTAGAAAGCCACACACACACACACACAAGAACATAGAGTTGAGATGAAAAGTCATTCTTGATGGGCTTGAACATACAATATAGAATAACATTGGAGTTGGAAGGGACCTTGAGGTCTTAAGTCCAACCCTCTGCTTAGGCAGGAAAGTCTATACCATTTCAGACAAATGATTGGCCAATCTTTTCTTATAAACATCCAGTGTTGGAGCATCCACAACTTCTGGAGTCAAGTTGTTCCGCTGATTAATTGTTCTAATTGTCAGGAACTTTCTCCTTAGTTCTAGGTTGTTTCTCTCCTTGATTAGTTTCCACGCATTGGTTCGTGTCCTTCCCTCAGGTGCTTTGGAGCAGGGGTCCCCAACCACCAGGACCCGGACCAGTACCGGTCCGTGGATCATTTTGTACCAGGCCGCCGGTACTTGGGCTCCGCCATCTTGTTTCGACGGCGCTTGATAAAGTGCTTCCGGGTGAGCTTGTCGGTCGTTGGTTGGAAAGCGGCGTTTGGGCGCTGAAGGAATCCTTGTGCCTTAGTTTCATCGAAGGGGTGGGGGCAGCTTCGAACGAAGAGCCGTCCCGATGGCGGTGGAGTCTTGCGTTACTCAGGAGGAAATTAAGAAAGAGCCCGAAAAGCCCATCGACCGGGAGAAGGTACAAAGGAGGAGTTGAAGGTGGCGGGGAGAAGCAGGGGACGGCTGGCTGGCCGGTCGCTCGGCTCACCTTGCCTTGTCATGCGTGCTGATGCCGGTACCGGTCTGTGGATCATTTTGTACCGGGCCGCAAAGAATTAATAATATGGTCCCTGGTACAAAAAAGGTTGGGGACCCCTGCTCTGGAGAATAGCTTGATCCCCTACTCCTTATCTTTGGACAGTTGTAGCCAGCCTCGCACACCCTAACACTTGTCTTACTGGCCCATTTTTTCTGCACCCGGCAAGGCTGGCCAGGTTTTCTTAAGGTCTCCGTAGCTGAGAACAAAGCTCTGGATCGATCCAGAGCTCCATTATCAGCTGCAGAGGCCTTCAGGAAAGCCCTGCTGGCTGCAGAAGAAGCTCCTGACAGCGAAAAGGAGGCTGGGGGCGATGCGCCCAAGTGAGGTTAATCAGTGGATGACATCCCCTGAAAATAAGACCTGTTGCCTTTTTGGGTGGCAAAAAGAAAAAAAAAAGACAGGGTCTTATTAACATTAGCAATTAGAGAGCAAGAAGAAAGGGAGTATGATAAGATTTGGGATTTATTTTATGGATGGTTAGAAAGTAGAGTAAGAAATTAAAGGATACTGTAATAAAATGATATACTGTAATAGATCATTCTGAATAAGTTATAACATGAATATTTAACCTAGTAAGAGTTGGGATTTGCTTTCAAGGATAGCTGGAAACTGAAACAAAAAAACCAAACCTAACGACATAATGATAATAATGATATAATACAATACATTTTGTTGATTAGAATATGTGAAATGTTAAAATGTTATGCAAAAGAAATGAAATACTTAATTCTCCATATAATCACGGCAGCAAGAATTGTGTTGGCACAATGCTGGAAGGATGACCAAATGCCAACAAATAATTTGATTAATTCAGAAAGTTCTTGACTGTGCTGAAATGGACCTACTTTCACAAAAACTTATAAGGTAGACTCAAAATCTACTACAGCTTGGGAAAAATGGTACAACTGGATGAAGGAGAAAAACCAGGAAATTGAAAGATAAGAATTTGAAAAATGAAATGGTTAAACTGAGAGCATATACCAAAAATAGAAAATGAATATTAGTAAAATTGCTTTCAATAAATGATCACACCGTCTTAGCTGATAAGAAATATATATGTTTTATGTCAATATTTGTATTTGTATATTGGTTTTGTTGGTAACGAAACGTGGTATTTTATACACTGTATATATTTTTCTTTTTAATCTTTAATAAAGTTTATTTTAAAATTTAAAAAAAAGAATATAATACGAGTGCAAACTCAACAAGGAATGGATGCAAAAATTATTATGTGCACAAGATATGTGTACCCAGTCGAGACACTGTATAACTGAAAGATGGTTTGGTTTGTTGTTTTTGTTATAAAAATAAAAAAAAACTTAAAAAAAGAAGACAGGGCCTTATTTTCGGGGAAACATGCTACCTGTAATTGGAGGTTTTAGAGATACCCTATTAACACCCATATCCCGCCAATCTCTTCCTGACTTACGGACACCCGTGGCTTGTCTTTCTCGAAGACAATGCAAGGCCACCAGCCTCTCATATTCCTCTGGGTGAACAGGGAAATGCATTTCTGCTTCCGTTGGTGAAAAGGAGTGCAAGATCTGGCCCTGCCGCTATCGTCCTGCAGGACTTTCAGAGTGCAATCCCGAGGCCGCTTGGCAGGTCGTGGAACGCTGGTTAAGTTGATTTCCAGGTTGCCTACAGAGGAGGAACAAAAGTATAAGGTCCCCTGCAGGGAATTGGACTAGAAGACCTCCAAGGCCCCTTCCAATCCTTCCGTGTTCTACGATCCGATGGTTCGCAGAAGGTAACGCCATGTCCTAAGCAGCCCTGCTATGTACATTGGACCGTCCGAAGCTGGGCATGGAAGAATGGCAAGAAGTAACGGGTGGGCAATCACGAAAGAAATGACTGGAGATAGTTTAATGGCTGGATGCCCTTCCTGTCCCCGGTGTGGAGTTTTGTTCAGCAGATATATTCTCATTCAAACACAATGAGCATGCCGGGAGGAAAATCTTGTTGAGAAGCGGCAGAAAACTTTATCCCAAGAGCCCTCATCCTGTTCAAAAAAAATCTTACCTATGAAATCGTCAGCTGAGAATTTGTCATTATCCCAGACCTGGATGATCAGTTTCGGAGGTACTTTCTGCATGGTCTCATCCAGACTCCAAAAATGTTGCTGCAAGAAAAACGGAAGGGAGGAAAATGGTATTTAAGATGAAAGCGCTAAAAAGGAGAGATTGTAACGGACGCCCCCTCGGATGCCTGGGAAGAACTGTGTGACATAAATGGGAGGATAAATGAAACGGTTGAACCAAGCACCTGTCAAAACTAACGCTTCTATAGAAAAAAGATGCCTTGATCAGATCAATTGGAAGAAAAAAACTAAAATTGTGCTGTTAATCCTTAATGTTATTACAGGACAATAATTCCTCCCTCCCTCTTTCTTTCTTTCTTTCTTTCTTTCTTTCTTTCTTTCTTTCTTTCTTTCTCTCTCTCTCTCTCTTCTTTCTTTTTCTTCCTTCCTTACTCTCTCCTTCTCTCTCCGTCTCCCTCTCTTTCTTTCTTTCTTTCTTTCTTTCTTTCTTTCTTTCTTTCTT